TTTTCGTTGACAACGATTTATCATTGCGAACAGAAACAAATTAAATCACTTTATATTTTAATTTTGGTACTTTTAATGAACTTTACCACTGAAGGACTATTTTCCTAAGAAAATAGGACAATTCGGTAAAAGGAAAACTGTCATTCGATCATTAATAACTACTTATTTCGCAAATTCAAATAATTTTTGCACATCAATCATCTTTTATAAATATAGGTGTACAGACATAATGATTAACTTTTAAAGTTTTACCTTGAATAATACCCGTTAGAATTTTAAGGTTGGTGTCTATATACTATTATATTGCAATATGAATAATTCAACGATAAATATTAAATATGCATATTTAGTATAATATAATGTTTACCAGCCGACATTTCATACATTAATTTGTTTCGTGCAAAAATTCACACTTACCTGCGTTTTACTACATACAGTAGACCCTCTTCTACACTGTTGACGCTTATAATATTCTACTGATATGGAGGGTGAATCTCGTCAAAGGGGTAACTTTCGGTCTGAATTGTAGTATATACTTTGCAAAGCCAAGGGCGGTTTTATACATACGCGTGCCATAAAATTAGTAGGTGGAATAACCTAAAAATATATTTGGTATATAAGAAATAAGAAATATAATTTTATTAGAGAGGGAAACAAGTTGACCTATATAATTTGTTGCCGTATTCGTCGTCGTCCCCTTCGTCATTGTTATAAATCTAAAACAAAAACGTATGTATAGTACCTACCTGTTTTATTCAATTTTCGAGTAACACACGATTGCGCGCAATACACCTTTTTATATAGGTACCAGATTATGCATATTTTCATAATACAAACGATTTTTTTTAACTGGCCGTAATGTAACACGTATAAAAATTGTTGTGACGTTGTCATTCATGATAAAAAAATATGTATAATAATATAAATAAATAAAAAATAAAACAAATAATAAAAATCAAATTATATAGAAAAATGTATTTGATTGTTTCCCTCGTAATAAATAATTAAAATGAGTCCCTAGTTAATTAAAATTTTTTCCCTTGATGTTAAGGATCTACTTGTGATAAAAATTGAATTAAATTAATTTGATTTGATTTGTACTTATTGTATGCGTTTATGATAAATTCCGTACGTTCTTTGTCTCTTGCGTTCAATATTTTCTGATCATTGTACAATGTAATCGATGCGATTTCATTTTCGATTTCCGACTGAAATTCCATCAATACTTTTATAACATAATAAATATGTGGGTGAGGGTGATACAATTGGCTGTTATATGTGCGATGAAAGCTTTTAGAACCATTAGTTGTCATATAAAAAGTATTCGTACGTGATCGAATACGTAACTGATGAGTCCAGATAAAATGTACATTGTAGAATTTAGATTACAATCTCTGCTAGTACTAACTGTAGGTAAGCTAGAATTTGGGTTAAAACCAAAATAACGTTATAATAGATATGTCTATTATGTAATATTAATACAGTTTGTGTGTCTGAAATTATTCCCAAAATACAATCGGCAATGTAGCAAATTAGTTTTGTGCGAAATCGCGTTGTACGGAATCGTGAATCGCCGCAGTTTTCTATGTACCTATGTATTTTATATTATAATATTTATAAAACAAACAACAATAATAATACAGCCAATACTGATCTCATCCTCCACTCAAAATTATTCTGTGTCTATTAAAACAAAACGGAAATATTTAAAAATAATATTCAAATATTTATCTTATTCCTAAATCAGAATTGTGCTGAATTATCAATATTTGTTTGATATTTCTAAATAGTAGAGATTGTATTTTATCTACCAGTAGATAACTTTGTTCTACGTCCACTGACGTGATTGGTGCATATTTAAAATAAACTATTTCACTAGCATTTTAATTTCCTAATTTGTCTATTCCTCAGTGCTATATAAAATATTTGAAATTTTTAAGACATTTTTTTCGCCAAAGTGCTTGATTTTCAATTAACTATTAAAATAAGCTCTAAAAACTTAAAATATGCCCCTTAAACGTAAATATATGCATTAAAAACTTTAAATATTTGGTCACAAACAACGTTGTGAAATGTATTTCGTACTACTAGTATTAAGCATACAATAAAGTTAACCAGAAAAAATATGCAAATGCATAAAAAGACCAAGAGTCCAAGTGCTATTCGTAATCTATTCGTAATATGTAATACCTCCATGATTCATTTTTCTATTCGGAAGTTCAATAGCTTGAAAAGGCTACTTTCAAATAATTATTAAATTATTAGATAGAGTAAAAAAAAAAAAAAAACAATAATACAATTTTACAATATTACACTTGTTTTAATTATTGTTGTCCTCATGGAAAATAATATTTATGAACAATAATTTCATAACCACGGCGATTTTTTTTTTTCAAAATATATTTTCGTTCGTTGATAATTACAAATAACAATGCGCTATACACCATTGCAATATTATATTATTATTACGTATTGGACACACGCGCCGCGAACACGGGGATTTGTCAATGATCGGCTTGATTTAGGCGATATCACTGGCCGCGGCCGTATAACAATACGTAATATAAATACGGCGGAGACAAACCGGTCGCGGACCGGAGGAACCCTTCTGGATTTTCCGGACCGTGCGCTAATAGGATATTGAATGGCGCGCGGGCGCTATGGTCGTCCGGCGGGGGGGGGAGGACGAGTTCGCGGGCCGGTGATTTTCGTTTGTGGCCGCGCGCGGTGAAAACGACAGGGGTAAAAACGGAATCACCGGTGAGCCCAAAACGGACCGGCGCGCGCGACCCGCGCGCACCGCGTCATTGACACTTTGACGACCCTTTGCCGTTGCGTACGCGCAAAGGCCGCGGTGCACGTCACGTCCCGGGCTGCGATGTCGATGCGTATCGAATCGCGCGCGTAACGAAAACCTTTTGTGGCGACCGTCTCTTTTTGTTTTTTTTCATCTCCACAATGCGAATTATGTACGGTTGCAGCACCTGTTTTTGCGGGCTGGCTCCGCGCGGTATATTGCTCATATTATATTATATTTTTATAGTATATATATATATGCACACTATAATAGTGTACGCGGTAGGATTTCGATTGCGATTTTGTACGCCGTGACTTTCTGAAGGGTTACACGCCGACGACGACCAGACACCGCATCGCTGCCGCCGGACTCTCGGGTATAGGCGGCGATATTAAAAACCCGAACCCCGTTCTCCGGGCGGGTACATTGCGGGCAATGCGCGCTTCCCGTACTGGAAACGGGCCGCACGCGCAAAATGAAAGCCTCCGATTGTTTCTGCTGATCGCCCGTCACAAATTCAATCATGATGTCGATAACACGAGACGTCAAGACGTGTTTTCGCCGATAACGGTCCGTACCCCCGATACTGTTCCGGGAGAATTGTAGTCAGGGTTGGGCAGTATCAAAGATACAATCGTGTCGTGTGTCTTGTATCGTGATAAGTTGTTTTAAAGTATCAAGTATCATGTATCTTATTCTGTCAATAGATACAAGATCATTTTATTGTAAAAATGTTTGCTGAATAATTAAAAAAATCTGATTTCAATTTGCAAAGTACTCAGATCTTAAAATAAACGTAACAACTTTATAAACTTAACTTGCGAGATAATTTGAAAAACATATTAATCTCCGAATCTAAAATAGATATACGGCCGTATACGTATTTACTCTTACAGTCATACAGATAAGAACTAAACTGGAATTTTCGTTCACTTAAAATATGAATCCTCCAATATCTAAATATGAGTGTAACCGTATAGCCCAACTAGCTTAAAATCACTTTTTAATTGTAATAATTTAATTTTGATTTCAGTGGGTATATATAATATAAATTGCCCTATTTTCTATATCTTCCCAATTTTCCACCTAAAACAGTGGATTATCGGATTTTTTCTTTGATTTTATGCTATAATACAATACGAGCAATAAATATCTATTTATTTGTATGAAATAGCTTCAGGGAGGTACGGGTTTAGTTAACGTGGGGCTTCGAGCTTCTACTGCTGGAAAGCCCAGGTGGGTGATTCCAGTAGGCATATTGCATATGATATTATGCGGAGAAATTTACTGTATAGTTGACAATATCATTCTCCTTTTAAAAGGGGATCAGAATAATCTTGCATATCTCGACCTGTTGTATGAAACGACAAATGGAGTTGCATCAGGTCGGTGTAAAATTTTGTCAAAAAGTATGAAGGGTTGTAAACAATACTTTGATGGATTGTTTCCTAAATGAGAGCATTCTTGTAGCATTTTTTTGTATCTATTTGTGTAATGCGGTGGTAACTTTTTAATTTTCCTTGCAGTTTTCTTAATAAATGGTAAGAACTGAAAATTTATTTCGTTGATTTTTGGGTTACCTTGACAACTAGAGCAAATATATGACTAATAATACTCTGTTCAGAATCGTTTTTCGTTAGCAATGGTTTATAGTTGCATACATAAATAAATAAAACTATTCTTTGTATCTTCCTTTCAAACTTCCCTCCTAAAACAAGTGGCATGCCCATAGACCATCAGTAGTATCAGTCTTTTTATATACTTATATATAAAAAGAATATCAATAATAATGTATTACAAAGGATATTTGGTAAATGTTAGATTTATAAATTATTATTATTAATTTGTCATTGTCAAATAAATAAGGGAGTTGTTATATTTTTCTAATATTAATATTTTTGTCGACCGTTGCGGTTGTGTTAATTTAGATGTATTAGATATGGATATTCTATTGTATGTATTTTTCATACAAGCAGCTGCTTTCCGGAACCCCTGCATATATAGTAATAATGAAAAAAAAAAACGAAGAAAAATCCCCTTTCCAAAATTATGGATTTCCGTAGACCACACCACAATACAATACTTGTTCTTAATCGTGATTTAATATAAGCCCATCACGTACACGCGCACTAACCCCTCGGAATAAATGAAAAATCGCATTTTTTTTTTTAATATTTTTATTTTTATAAACACATAAACTTTTGATACGACTCAACAAATTCATATAATATAATATTATATATAATTAATCACATGATATACATTATAATTTAGACTTACTTTTTTTTGTTATCCTAAAGAAAAAATAAACATTATATTGATTGAAGCTCGATTCGGCGATGTTCATCTATGTAGGTAACGATTTGTTTCTATAAATCTAAAAATAACAAAAATCAAGTTCAATTTAGTTCATTTGAAAAGTGTGTTCTCTGAAGTTTAACTACTTCGTTTTTATTTTTATACTAATTAGCACATTTAGTTACACACACCCATAATTTGAACATCGAGAGGCTAGTATTTTTTTTGGTTATTTTATATAGGTACCAAAAATTAACGAGGGAATTAAGAGCAAATGTATATCGCATCTTTGATAAAATATATTGATAGAAACATATTGTTTCTTCTCTCCTTTCCTTAAATTTTTTGACTAACCCATGTAATCCCTCCCCTCACCATTGAGAGTATTACTTATATAAAATATAATATTTAGTTACAAAACTCTACTGGACGTCCAATAGACTACTGCATGTCCATTTGAACACAAACAGATCTCCTTAAAATATATATTAATATATTCTTGTTACTAGTTTATTTTCATCGATAACTATAGATTGATTTCGGGCTAAACGAAATGGTCGAAAGTCCAGTGCTGAGCACGATATTCGGATCGAAACAAACGTTACAATTTGGATTTCAATCTGGATTATGATTACCTATCCGGATTTTATCTAGATTGACGGATTGGATCCCAGAATTCAGATTAAATGGATTATATCCGAATTAGGTAATTGTAATCCATATTCCGAATTTCTCAGCACTAGTTGAAATACAATATAAGTATAGGTAACATAATATTAATACGGATTTAAAAATAAATATTTATTATCTTCACTGTTTAAATTATGTACTCCTTACAGACGTCCGTGAAGTTGGCCTTCCCACTTTGTCCGATCGGTTCCAAATCTATGCCATTATTTTTCAACTTTAAGGAACTTTTCAAAAAAAATTTGCAATCTCATACTTTTGCCGGAATCCATTTTTTTTCATATTTGAAACAATTGTACATTATTGTATGTGTAGTCTACACTGGAGTTATAAACCTATATAAGTTTTAGTATCTCTTAGAACTAATTTTTAATATTTAACATACCTTTCACTTACAATTAAGTGGGTAGATTCAATATCTCGAAAAGTATTAGTTTTCCTAGCAGACTACCTAGTCTAATTAGACCTTAAGTACGATAATATCTAAAAGGCCAATAATATATTATTATTATTGTTATAATTTGATATGAATATTATTTTTGTGCACATTGCATAGTACCAGTGTATGACACCAAGTCACTGAATATTTGTTCTTTTATAGTTATTTTTTTGTGCCGTGTTGTGTTTATTTTTATGTATTTATTTTGAGTTAACATCATTGTAATGGGGATTCCTTTAAGGTACTAGTTAAGTACTAGTTAACACAAATAATCATTTTCATAATATACAAAATACTTCTGAAAATTACTTATTTGATTTATTAGGTTAATTTATTAAGTTGATATACCTATCGAATGGTATATTATTAATGCTCAATAAATAACAAAACATAATAACAATAATAAACTTCAAAAATATATACAAGGTAATTCACTAAATTAGAGACAAATATTATCTCAAAAAGTACTTTTATTTTAAACAAACCATTTATATTTATGCAAGTTTCAACAATGGTTATTTTTAAATCAAATGTGAGTTTCTCCTGTAAAAATAATGCTAACAAAAAATAACGGTTTAATTGGCATATTTTAGAACTAAATTGGTTCCAAATAAATTTGAAAAAAAAATCCGAAAAAGTTAGAACACTCCGAAATAATAAGTGTCTTACGTTTAGTTGATCATCCTATATTTGAAATATATATAAATATAATATTATAAATCCAATACAATTAAACAAGAAAAATGCAGATCAACAAAAAGAAAAAACTAAGTCTGCAGTATAATATAAGTTGTATGTAAATATGACAAGTGTCAAATCAATAATTCATCATCAATAGAATAGTAAAGACAAAAAAAACGCCTAAGTATAAAACACTCAAGGATTTGGTATTTTTTTTTATGTGTTTTTCTTTATTTTATGCTACAAATACAATATGTATGTATGTTTACTTTTAACTATTTATAATTATTTTATAATATTTTTTTAAAAAATTTTTTTTTGATATTTATTTCAATGCCAATATTTTCCTTCCAAAATACAATATTTATAATAAAACGTAAATGTATAACTTGGATATGCAAATTAGTTGCTGAATAATAACACACGTTTGAAGCCGATTGGGCAAAGTGGGGAGGGGGCGTTACGGGCGTTCCTTGCAGCTGCATGACGCTGGCATCCAAATTTCAGAAATACTACGCAAAATTAGAGCCAAAATTTGTTACATGATTGGTACAAATTTGTAACAGAAACACCAAAATGTGTACAACCCCCCTAAGCGTTTAAAAGTGCGTTTTTTAAAATTGCTTGCGAATCTTGTCGCAAGCATCCATATTTCCTAATTTTTGTCATAGCAACTCGAAACCGGTTTCAAAATTTATTTTATAATTTATACAAATTTGCAACAATTAACCTAAAAATTTATACACCTCCTCCCCACTAGTGTGATCAGATCAATTTTTGCTTGCTTTTATACACATATATATATTTTTTTTAATTTATTTTTATTTACATTATTTGTTTAGTTGCTTAAATACATACTTCGTTTGTTAAATGTTGTGATTTGCAAAAACAATAGGAATATAAGAGTGTTTAAATATTTTATTAAAATATTTGATTTGGCAAACATACTTAAAAGAAAATAATAATTTGAATATACGAGTATTTTTATTTCTTAAAATGTCTGCATCTACTTTTGGTTTTCAACCTGTCTAAATATTTAAAACATCATTTAATGTTATTAACGATATTTTAACTCCTTACTATGGGTTTTTTTTAGTTGTCGACTTTCTGATGGTGACTGTTTCCTTTCTGCAACTGACTATCGGCTTTCTCGAGCTGACTGTCGGAATTCTGCAGCAATGTAACCGATTCTATTTCTCGAAATAGTTCTTCGGGTTTTTGAATGTCTTGCACTTTAGTGATTTCGTTGTGTACACCCAACCGATGTCGGATCAGATCCTCAATTATATCTGTAAAATAAATACATAGGGATTTTAATGTGTACTTAATGGGATGAATAAGTGATTTAAGTAAGTACTTTAAATGATAAGACTTTTTCACTAATCTACTAAAAGAAAAAAATGTAGGAATTGCATTTTAAAAACGTATAATGATTCTTTAGGTTTTTCACTAGATAAGATACGTTAAAATTATTTTTTTGTATTTTTGAAAATTTCTTATAAATATAAAAAAAATTGTATGACTTCCAATAAATTAATTCTATTTCCATTTCCGATATATCCTAGTAAATAACTTAAATAATTATAAGTAATACATTTTCAAAATTGAATCCATCATTAACAATTCTTACAGTAAGTTGTATCTAGCTTTTAGATTTTAATTAACTAAAATATTCATGATCACCAACCCTCTTAATTTAGTCAGAAATGTAAATGTAAGTGTTCATCATTGAATTCAAAAATCAAGGCTACAAATATAAGATTTGAATTTTAGGCATTTTTTAATTGAAAACCTGAACAATCGATCAAGACTATTCGAATTGCTTTAATAATAAATAAAATATTGCACTATTTGTCAATATTATTTGTGTTCGTTTAATCAAATTATATATAATATTACCTCTTAGATTATCGTCATTTTTGATGTGTAGCCGTTCTTTTATCCAGGACACGAGTTCTGGACCTGTCACAGAATAATATGCACGGTTCAATGTAATTATGTAATATAGAATCAATGTAAAAAACGATTTACTTTCTACTATTGTTGCATCGGCTGTATTCATTGTGGTGTCACTATTCACTACGATCAATGCACGTCGAGCTTTTTCGATGTTCTCATTATTCTCGTGTAATTGAGCGTGGTCGGTCTGTAATCAATATAGGTAAATTATAGTCCACAATTTACGCGTATTAATTAAAAAATAAATCTTAAATCTTGAAACCTTAAATAAATATATGTATTTTAAAATGTAAAATTTAAATAATTTGATTAATAAACGAGATCTTCATAGCTATCGGTAAGTTAGAAAAATAGATAGTTTATACCATAATGTGTTTCATTACCTAACGATTATAACATGATATTATACACTGATTATTTGCATATTTTAGGATTTAGTACATTTTTAAGAAATTTTAGATCTTATTTTTATCATTATTTTTATTTATATTATATATAACAGATACTCACAATAACTTTATTAAGACTTTCGNATAGTTTATACCATAATGTGTTTCATTACCCAACGATTATAATATGATATTATACACTGACTATTTGCATATATTAGGATTTAGTACATTTTTAAGAAATTTTAAATCTTATTTTTATTATAATCTTTTATTTATATTATATATAACAGATACTCACAATAACTTTCTTCAGACTTTCGTCTTCGAACCGTAGTCTTTCCATTTCGATCTTCTCGATGGTACGTTGCAGACTCAACGCTCTCTGCTGTCGTGCCCTCGCGTCTAGCTCGTCTTCATATNTTTTTAAGAAATTTTAGATCTTATTTTTATCATTATTTTTATTTATATTATATATAACAGATACTCACAATAACTTTATTCAGACTTTCGTCTTCGTACTGTAGTCTTTCCATTTCGATCTTCTCGATGGTACGTTGCAGACTCAACGCTCTCTGCTGTCGTGCCCTCGCGTCTAGCTCGTCTTCATATAGTACTTCACGCATCGCCTGCCTAAAGACGCTGGCGATCAGCGACTCAGCTATCGGCGTCACCTCGGTTTCAAAGTCGTGTAGCTAAATCGTTAAAAAAAATGTATTTTTCTTTTATAATATTGTGTAGGTTATAGTGTTGTTTTAAACTTTAAAATCATTCAATGTATTTCGGCGTGTCTCGGTCGGATAAAATAACTATTTGTAATATTATATATTTATTTATTATTTTTGAATCATATTATATTTAACTCACATCTTTGTCATCTACTTGGGTAGATGCATCTGTGCCGGTGTACTTTCTCTTTCCTGGATTCGAGAACGACTCTTGATCGAATTCAGTTTGGGCCTGGAACGACTGAAATTCCCGGTACTCGATCAACTGCAGAAACAAAAGACGATTTTGTTTTATATAATATTTCAATTTCGGTTTATCGGGATTAAACCAAGATATCAATCAAACAATAAGTATACTTTGTAGGTATATTTTAAAGTTTATAATACGGAGATTTTGGACTAACTTCTTCCAGTTGCAGGTCGGTGTGGACATCCACGTTGTGATGACCTTTGATATCTTTTGTCGTTCCGAGGTGCAATCGCAACGCTCTCGTTTGGTAGTCCATCGCTTTTTTCCGAGCCATGGCAAGCCGACGACTTTCCGCCTCCCGTGACGCGGCCGATTCTTTTTGGACATTTGGCTGTACATAAATACAATTTTGATTAATTATTATTGCAATGTGATTTTGGACCGTAATAATTCTATCGTAATAAAAAGAGTGAACTAATGTCAATTCCGCAGCGTTTCAAAAGCCAAAATAAGTAGCAAGTAAAAAAAAAAAAAGTATAATAAATAAAATAAAAAGTAATAGAAATTAAAACGGCAAAACTGTAGCGCATGCGTTAAAGCAAGACGCTCACCTCGGACGATAACTGTTTAGCGTACCCAAAATACGGGTTCCATTTTGGACGCTAAATATTTCAATAGTATTATTAGATAGTTGTTTAAGTATGGTTTACATTTAAAATACAAACAGTTCGAGTTTACTAAAAGAAAATAACTTACGATAGTTTTTTTTGTGAAATTGCTGCCTCTGACTACTCGTCGGTCGTGCATAATATTTGTGTAACCCATTTGTTTGCACGTACTGTGAAAAAAAATAAATAAAAGGATTTTACAAATTATAGTGACTTTTGATCCGAATNAATTACGTTTTATAATGCGAACCAATTTAAAACTGTGAGTTTTCTATACACATGTTCGTAGAGCCATCGAAAAATATACATCAAAATAGTTGTTTGTTGTTATTGGATGCTCAATTGGTGGCGACTTTAAATTATTACTGTAAATTAATGTGCTCAATTGAAAAGGTTTTCTGGGCAAAATTGTATAAAAATTACACAAATAAAAACGGTAGCAGCTTTAAAACCCTAATTTTAATTACCTTGGTAGTACATTTAGATTGAATTTAGATTTTTTTAAATTTTTTATCGTCACCGTGAAAATCATTAAACCTAAGATAAATATTATTTCAAGTGATTTCTAAGGTTAGGTTAGGTTTGGATATTCCTTTGATTTTTGATTTTATCACAATGTATATTTGTTTACACAATATATTTCCTATAAGTGATTACGATAATTTTAGAAATATACATGTACCTATAGGGTTACGACATCATGTTCATGATCACGTAAATTTATATGTTGAGATTCGTATCTTAAGGTATATATCTAAGCGCCTGATCACATTGCGGATACGTACACAATTTAAGTTTAACATAAGTACCCACTTATTCAAATAATCTATACTATTAACGCAGTAGTATTACGCGTAGGTGTATCCTTTTAATGGTCAAGGGTCATGGACATAATGGTCATTAAAGTTTATTCGTGTTGCGCGATTATAATATTATTACGCAAATCAATAATATCTAATTATATAAATAATAATATAAGTTATAACTGAACATTATTATTATTGAATATTATTTGTGTGGCTTGTACTATATATTATTGTTATTACTATTTTTTTTTTTTTTAAAGAATTATGTTTAAATACTATATTATAATAATATACTATCGATAATGTATTTTATTCTAAAAAAAAAAAAAAAACATATTTCACGGTGTTTAGTCTTGAAAAAAATCGAACGACCGTTAAATAAATGCGCATTATAATTGGATAGACACTTGCTGGGTACATATGTATCGATGGCGGCGAGATCGATAGGCCGGTGAATGGATGGAGCGGTACCGATTACCGCGAGTGGGTGCACATTTGCGATAACGGACAGAGTATAGGTATTTTTAGAACCGATTATCTCTAGTGTGATATATATTGTCGTTGTCACGTCAATCGATAAGCCTAGTTATGAACGGTTCGAACTACGAATTGTGTTCCGTAATCGTAATAATCCATCTGTGGCACTGACGATTAATGCGCGTTAAGATATCCAGTCTACTTTTTACTTAATTTGACTAGTAATAATTAATTTATAGCTATTATATAGTTTTTTTTTTGCTTATTTAGTACAAGTGATTATTTATTTGAACGTCAGAAGTAAGTACTGTATTTTATTCTTTGATTACCTTAGTATTTGTCAGTTGGTATAATGTACATAATACCATATTATATAATATGTTGCATATCTGTAATTGAAGAATTACATTGTATCTTCATTTTCATGCATATACCTACAAGTTACAACCTATACAACATCCATAACTGAGTTTGTATGTATATATTTATCAGGACGCATTATTTATAAATGTAGGTACCTACTTAAAATGTACTTTACTTTTGTAAAACACAATAATGCTAAATTTAAATAATATTTTTAGATGGTAAATGTATTTCAAAGTGTTCATATGTTATTTAATATCAAATTCAAGAAGTAATAAAATGCAATTTTAATGTATTATAATGCTGTCTGTCTGTCTGTCATTCTATCTATTATAGTTTAATTAATAGTATTGTAGCATTGTAATTTCATTTAGTTTTTAAACAGTAGAATTTTAGAATCATAATTATTATTATTTTATATAAAATGCCAAAAATTAACAAAGGGTCTAAAAAAAACTTTTTTAATATTTCTTCTCGAACTCGTAGAAGAATTATTCAGCTGCAGAATCAGGATGCTGATTTTGCAAGAAACAATTTAAATCCACAATTTAATTTTAATAGTTTACCAAATTCACCTCGTTCTTCAAATGAATTACCTATATCACATATTATAATGAATAGTGCAGCCAGTATAGGTACTGTAGATGTTGATAATGTATTTAGTAATAATTCCTATTCTGATATAAATATTTTAAATGATGAAACAGAATATTATATTACCTATTATATATTATTATTATATGTGTAGTATTATTAATTTGGTTTTAGAAGCAATACGAAAGGATTCAATGTTTTGCAATATTCAAGATAGAGAAATAGAAGATACAATTCAAAAATAATTAGCACAAAGACCATTTGTTGTCAAAAGAAATGAACAAATTTCAAAAAAAGTACCAGAAGACATGACTGAAGATGNTATACGAATAAATATTCTAATATTTGTCATTGAAATACACTAAAATAAAACAAGTGAAATAATAATTATTAGTATGATATATATAAAATGTTTAATTTTAATCAAAAGTTCCTAATAAATAATAATGTTCTATTATAATATAAACCTACATATATACCTAATATATATACCTACATGAAATGGTAACAGGACTACAATATTTGTTAATTATGTAATGAGATATTACAACCAACCAATATTGAGGCGATTCTTAACATTATTAGTATGACGTAGGTACCTATTAATTTAAATTACAACTATATCGGATGTATGTTTTATTAATACACTTAAATACTAATAAGCAACGCATTTAAAAAAAGTAATATTTTATATGCCCAACTGATATGTTATAGCATTTAATTTGAGGTCATATAATGATGTTTTATTAGCATTCTTATAAAACAGATCACAGATGAACTACTTCCTTTTTGAATAATTTCAATCTAAAAAGTACCTTATTTGTGTCTTGGCCAGTATAATATTGATAGGTCCTACCAGATTCACTGAATGTCAGGGGGGGGGACCGTGAATCAGAGTTTATAAGAACTGCCATTTTAGAGTATTTTTTTTTTATTTTATTATAATAATATATTATAAGCAATATTTATTAAACTTGATTTCTTCAATATTATCTTATGGTTATGCATTCAATACTATTATGGCATTAAATGGATATTAGATAATGCCTATAAATATTATTGTAATATTTAATATGCATTACTAAATAGATGTTGAAAAATTAATATTGTGGTCATATTTTTTGAATATTAAAAATTAATTATATAACATCTATTCAAGTTGATTTTAAAGATCCATTAAATATTAGTAATACAATGTGCATGTAACATTGTAAATTCAATATTAAATGATCATTTTTGCTTGGCCAAATAAAATTACTGGGATATTGCATTGACATTAAACAATTTACATACAATTCGTATTCGATATCTATACAATCTATACAATCTCATAGTTGAATAATTAACAATTATACAATCTTATAGCAATGATTTTTTGCTGTCTGGGATATAATGTAAATATTATAACAAAGTACGTGGTGTAGTATTTTGCCATATTTATCGAATTTAAACTGAAAATTTCGATTTTTACTACAGCCTACAATATTCATTAAATACATATCATTACCTCGTTTTTTACACGATACATTTAGCGAATCCCTATCTGGACCAAATTAACACAAACTCGGAAATTATATAATTGTTTTAGAGACGGATTGAAGTGTTAGAAGTCTGGTTGAATTAAAAAATATAAATTTAACCGTATGTTTTTGCAGGAGATTAATGTTTTCTTTAGCTTTGAACACACCTACAGATGTCTTAAACGGTGAATAGAACGGTGGTGATAGAACGACAGATGTGTCTATGATTATTGAATCGATATTTCCATCATAATAAGCACGCAACGTTTGAAATGGTCAGTATAAAAAATACTCGAGTTTAAAAAAAGTATAAACTAAATCGACAAATTAAATAATTTAAGTGTGAGCACCCAAACACAAATTGACAAATCGACCGGCTTCAAATGGAAAATCGGCATATTTTATGAAGTTACTGCAGAGCACGAGTTTTAGAGTGTATTTTTCTAATCTGAAAAGTGTTTTTCGATAAAAAAGCAATATCTTGGTATGACCAGCTTCCTCGCTCTACTAAAGAATCTCTAAAATAAAAAATCTACACCCGGCGGTCTGGCCGCCTTAATTTGTTTCTACTCACTCGGGTTGGCGGTCATATTTGCGGGCGACAGTGGTTCGCTGGTGCTGTTTATCGTAGAGCACGCGCGGTTTGCTGGAGTAAGAGTAGTACCGGCAGCTGGAGTCGACGTCACCGGCGGCCGCAGAGGACGAACGATCTTCGAGACCGAGCAGGGCGGCCAGGTCGGGCGGCGGGTCCAGGAATATTCCCGTTTTCACGGTGGTAACGAAAACGGGTTTCCTGGACGAAGTCCGTTTGCCGCCGCCGGCCGCTCGCCGCTGTAGTTTCTTGAGCCTCGAGTCCAGAGATTTGACAAAGTGTTGCCGGCCGCGGTCGTCGTCGTCACCGCTGCCGCCGTCGCCACCGCCGTTGCCGATCACCATAAAAGACGACGACGAACTTTCTTCGGTAGTACCGTCTTCCCGCATCGCGGTGCGGTACGCGGCGTTTGGCGACCGCGGATCGGTGGGTACCGGCCGTCGTCGGCCGTCCCCTGTGTACCGGGACGCCTAGTAGCTGTGGCGGTGGCGGTGTTTGCTACACGCGTCCACCGGACAACGACAAACGGCCGACAAACGCGACGGGCATCGGGTCGTCGTCGGGACGTTATACTGGTGCCGCGGGCTTTGCTGCCGGTCCTGTGGTGCGTGTGGGTGCGATATGGGCGAAAGGTGTTCCGTGCGCGAGAGCCACGGCCACGCGCACGCACGCACGCGACCGTCTACGCCGCCGACGACGGTCGTTCGCACGCCCGTTGACCACACGGACGCGCGGGTCAGTGGCTCGACGACGGCGGCGGCAATAAATAAAAAGCAACGAAAACAATAAAAAAAAAAAAAACGCGATTCGGGTAACGACCGCCGCCGCCGCGTCGGGTACATAATAGTATTAATAATATTATACGTCAAACTCTCGAACGCGCGTGCCACGCCGGCATAGTTATACAGGGTGCGCCATGTGCCGAACGAGTGGACGGCATCCCTTTTTTTTTTTTCCTACGGTATTCGAAAACTCGTGTCCGATCGATCGGTAAAACATTGTGCGGGCGTGTAGTAGTTTTTTTTTTTTTCATTATTTATACACGCCTCGGGTAAATCATTATAAAAAAAAAAAAACATGTATAGATATTTACGTATACGAATGTAACCGATTGCAGTAATTATATCGTTGTATTGTTATTATTATACTGTACCGTCTATGCGTACACGATCCCGCGGGGTTAGTTAAAACTTGTATCGAAAAACTGTGGCGATAACTTATGCGGTGGGTGGGTATTACTTCTGGAAAAAAAAAAAAAACAAACTTATTTAATTAACCGAAATGCGATTTAGTAAAACGCTCAAAACCGAATAATATTCCGATTGTTTCTTTTTGTTTTTACCTGTATAGCATATTCAAATATCTATCGGGGTGGTCCTTATTAATGATTTTTTTCAAATTTTAATTTGCGAAAGCCTTTAATATATTTCCTTCCTTTGTAAAAACAATAACTGATGAACTGTAAATGCCCACGGAGGTTTTGAATTTACCGTATCGCCGTTGACGTGCAAAAACTTCTTATGTGCAAAATTTTCGATTTTGAGGTTTTGGTAACACTGGATTCAGAAAATAATAAGCTATCATATGACAATATCGCCTATGTGCTATCTTCACGAAAGAATTAATGAAAAATAAAAAAAACAAAAATCTCTCATGTGTTAGCTACACTGAATTGTTTGTGAAATACCTCTTATGTGATTAAAAATGTCTTATGTGACATCAATCGTTGTTACTCATTACAAACCTTTCTATTTAAAATTGAAAAACCTCTAACCTATGTAATTTTGGCAACAAATTTTAACTAACAAAACCTTCTATATATAATGAAAAATTGACAATTCATACAATATAATATCCATAACTATTTTTTTTACTTCAATTTGTTCAGAACAAATAGTTTTACGGTTTTACAATTAAAAAATATATTTTCGTCAATCATTGAACATTTTCGTTTTTTCGAAAACGTTTTTCGTGCCTTCAGAAAAATCAGGTTTTAGCACATAGGAGATTGTTTTACGTAAACGTCAACGAAATATTACTTTTTTTTTAGAACAAATCTAGTCTTATGGGCTACAATTTTTTTTTATATTAAACCAATACTATTAGCTAGTGTTTAAAAATTATCGTTTGCGGTGTATATAAACTAAAAATAACCTTACTTGACCGATTACGGTTATTAAAATACGTAAAACAATAGAAACTCAAAATATTTTTACATCTTGATTTTATATATGTATATATATTTTTTTTTGTCAATATCGGATTGAATATATAATAATGTTATATCTACTTAAACTTGCGTCACCTCTCGTTTACACTATTTCTGTGTCGTTCTTGTAATTTCGCCGAGTTTAATATAATAATAGCAAACAATATACTAATATTATTAATACTCGCGGTTGGCGGTTTCGCATTTTCTTGGGGCAGTCGAGCGCGTTTTGATTTAATCTTGTCATTTGAGCGCAAATTTTGACGACTTAACCAGTAATTGAGACCGTCTGTTTAAGCGCGCTACGCTTTCGGCTATGGTACGGTTATATCCGGGTGGAAAATGTCCACGGAACAAATGAGCCCAAAATCATAATAAAGGCTGACAAGACGAAAAAAAAACTGTCCTATAGGATGATGAGGACGTGTGAAACCGCTGTTATAGCCGTCATATAGGTGAGAAATTCGAAAGATAGAGGGGAAATTTAAAGTGCATCGGTAAGTAACGATAAACCATCATCGCTAACGAAAAAAAAAAACGATTCTGAGTGAAGTTTGGTTGATAGTGTTGCTTTGTCAACAATATATATTATATCATATTGTGGTAAAATAATTACATATGTAATATATATATACCATTATTATATTTCTTTTAATAATATTTGTTCAATATTGATACGATTTTCCGTTTTTCCTACGTTTTTCTCGGGTTTCCAAGTTTTTTCCCATTTATTGGGAAAACTCTTTGGAAAATCAAAAAATGACTACCCTGAAACGAATTATTGTCAGATTCTTGCGAGTTATTGCAACTTATACCCGGACGTAAGATTCTCCGTTTGCGGACTACAACTTTATAATCTAACCCCGACACTAGTGTTTTAACGCAAACACTTTTTTAGGTTTTCGATTTTAGTGCACACTACACAACTTTCTAGAAACAGTACCAGGTTCGGACCGGTCGGCAGATTATATAGATTTTTCTTTCAGAGTCTGGTAGTTCGTATAGTATACGGAAGTACTTAAACCTTTACAATATTGTACAGTTTCGAAGAAAAAAAACTTGCTCGAATGATGTACGGTAAGTTTAGGATAAAAAAAAGATATCAGCTCAAATGACCTATATAGCTCTATTTGGTTGAAAAAAAATACCCGTGCTCGGGCGTAAGACGCTCGCCCTGTATAATTAGGGTCGGTGTTCTCGCGTTGGCACACAATTTAACGTGATGCATTTATAATGTACGATGACCTCGAAGACCACTTCACTCCACAAATGACGAATGAAAATTGAGGACTTTAACGAATGGCCTTTAAGCACGCGGCAACGTTTTTGCGACTTTTGCAGCACGGAGGCGGTCAGAAGAAATTTCCGTCCCACCCCTCCCGTTTACCCTTTATACACCCGACCCGTCCTACTTATATCACGCACGTGATACTTATCGCGCCTCACGTGTGTCCTTAAATAATTTATTATTGACTATCGCTGCTACTACTCGTAAATGTCCTCAGACTTTAGCGGTAAGGAACATTCGACGATATTATACTTACGAGATTAGTATTAGAGGTACAATAGAGATTACAATTATAATTATTTTTCATTCTCTTGGTGGTAGGTATATTTATATTGAAACGAATGGTAAATTACCATTCGTAACAAATTATTTTGTCCTATTTGTATTTAAAAACGAATTAGGTGTTTTGATAACTTATAAGAACTAGTTAGGTACTTTTTTCCTGACTAATTGTCGTCATTATTGGAATTCAGTCAAGATCGAATTTTTATACTGATTTAACAATATAATTGCATAAACAATTTTAGTCATTAAAAAAAAAAATTGATTAATACTGTTTAAGGTTAGGTCCCTACTGTAAAGTTGAGAAGGTATGATAAGATGTACAGGGTAAATTAATGTAGATACTTTATGTAACGATAAATTATTGAAAACTAAGAACGATTCTGAACGGAGTAGTAGTGGTCTTTGTTCCCAAGAGAACTTAGAAAACGATCAGAAATTAAAAAAACAAAAACAGGATCTAGGTAGGCCAACTGCTGAANCCTAAATTTGTGTATAAAAGCAATTTGTTTGAAAAAAGTATTATTATTATTTCGAAATATTGTCCAAATAAAGTACTATAAGACAAAAACTCTGCATCTTTTAAAGTATTTTATGAAAAAATCTGAGCTTTTTATAACCAAAAAATAGTGTTTTTCGAGAAATAAATAAAAAAATAACACATATTAGTAAATGTAAAATCACAATTAGAATCTAAATAATTACACTTCAAATTTAATAATTACTATACATTATATTCGTGTCTATTTTTTGATGTAAATTATATTTATATACTGACAATTCAAATTTCCCATAACTAATAAATTCAAATTTGTTTAATTAAAAAAAAGGTTGTATGTATACACAAATGGTTATTTTTTTATTTTCAAGGCGAAAACCTCATTACCTTACCTGATGTCCATGAGGCTTTATCAGTTCTTTTTAATCAAAATTTAAATTAGCGTGCTTTTGCGTAATATTTTTTTGTGTGTCTTATTCACCTATATAATACTTAGGTGTATACTTTTACGAAACTATATAAAAAATAAACATTAGACATTTTTAGACATCATAAAAAAAATATTATTGTTTACAATGGAAGTCAATGATTTTACGACGAGTTAAAAGGGATTATTATTATTTTATGACCTTACATGTCAGGCTTTAGTTTCGTCAGACTTTTAACACACCTTTCATCCAGGCACTAAATCTTTTTTCTTTTTGTTGATTAATGAATCAACAACGATGATTATAATATTATATTGTGTGTACATCTTAAAAATATTACACAGAAATCAAAAACTGTAAACAAATTTACCTCTCAATGTGTTAAAAATTATTTCTTTCTTCTTAAAACGATTACAGGTAAATAATCTTTTTTTTGAGTGGATTGAGTATTTACAAGGAGCTACTGATAAAACTAAAATTTTTAGGTTTGACGAAGGGCGGTAAATTTAAAGCGAAATGAATTAAATCCGAAGGAAATATAATTATTATTATTGAATGACATTGTCACTGACAAACATATAACTAAAGTTTTCTGTTTGTAAACTTCCGGTGCTTTTGTTTAATATTATTAAATCATATTGGAAAGTGAAACAATCAAAAAAAATAAGCAGCTTGTATAATACGTGTTCTGAAATGTAGTAGCTTATCTACTACAAAATTGTAGTATTTAATACGGAAAGAGTACATTTGTCCCACGCAAAACGGTTTCCGTGATAACACAGGATGAAATATGAATATTTGTAACAACACACGCGGTTCTCACCTTGGTGAGATTTTCGAAACTCAAAATGACGTGATAAACAATAATTCTCTCACACGTATGTTAAAAAAAGTTGTTTAATGACAAATTATATTAATTGAACGAAAATTTCACGCAAAACAATATTATCATAATAATGCCCGCGTATTGAATTACACGGTGCGCAATTCCGTTTCGTGACTAATAGTTATTTAAATATTTTAAACCTTTAGTACGAATTTAAAATATTATTACATTACGAGTAGGTATATTAACGTTAATATTCAAATTTTCAGTATACCTGCTTAATTGTTGTCAAAAAATTTGATGCTTAATCTTTGTGAAATATTAATGCAATTAATACCCGATTAACAAGTTTGGAAAACAGTTTTTACTATTATAATATTATAGCGTTTTGATTTGGGTCATGGCACTAGTTCGTGAGGTTTTGTATATAATAACAGGAAATACTTATTTATTATATATCCGATTCAAATGCCGTTTGTAAGTACGTATATAATAATATAATTGGTTACCTGCAGTATTAGTTAAATATTCTAACGAACCTGTATTATATTAAAGCGTGACACGCTAAAAATTATTGCTACGCTGAACTATATTTTAATGTAGTTTAATTGTAATAATAATTTTTGATAATCTAAATAAATTATGTTAAACGACAAAAAATTGTTTATTTGCCGAGCATTGAAAGTTTTTATACATTTCTATACCTACCCATTTTTGAAATTAATATACGAACCCAAACGTTTTCTCGTTCACGCGAATCTAGAAAAAAAACCCACAATAACATAATATTGCACTATTATATTGTACTATATTATTTAGTCGCGGTGATTAAACAAAATGTAAACTTTTTTAACGACCCCCTCCTCCATCTCGTTTGAGTTTTGCGTAATAACAGTAAATATCACATTTGGTTATGATTAACGTATTTAGTATATTATGTCGTAAAAAAAAGTGTTGAACAACTATCGATTTTCCCGCGTCGTTGTTTGTTTTGCACGCTGTCTGTACATTATATTTTAGTACACGTAAACACGATTATTCCGATGAAAATATTTGTATTCGAATAATATTTCCAATGGCGTAGGAGAGGAGAGGGGATTGTCCCGAGGATAAAAAAACCACTTCGATTTTACAACTATATAATGTGGGGCCGTGAGGTAAGCACATCATAGGTTTCAACTATGGTATATAATTATTGTATGGAATATTAATCCATGACAATATCTGTGGGAGAATATATTGTTGAGGCAATATAGACAGTATATATTCCTTTCGAAAAAATCCAAAATATGCCATTAAATATTCGTTTGCTTGCTATATTTTGGAAGAATTTTAGGGCTCGACGAAACGGATTGCATCATGTGATCCCATTAAGGGGGGGGTGCAGAGGGGTGAGTGACTTTTCCGCATTTCCGTATCAATGTGGTTTTTTAACAGTTTAACAAAAAGGACATTGAAAAATATAATTAAAAATAATACATTGCCCCCCTTTGCAGGATTTTTAAAATTATTATTCACCTTATTATTTGTACAAATTTAAAGGTATAACCGTTTTCGACCAAACCAAAAGTATATAGGTGAGAAAGATTGTCAGTGAGAAAGATAATCTATAATAATAACATAAGAAAATAAAAATATCTATTTTCAGAAAATAACCTTAGGAACCTATTTGTTTTCAAAAGCCTTCGGTATTCGCTCAACAATACAACTAGTTTTGATTGGACACGAAAGCTGCAGCTTTCAGTATCATGATACTTATATAAATACCAAAATAATAAATATCAACGGGTTTTCACGACTTTATCGCAGTTTCATAGCCATTGATTAATTAAGTTGTTTAAAACTATAAGCAGGTATTATGACATGTTTATATAAAAATACTGTCAATAAATCTTTTTTATATGAATAAACTAAACTTTCGTTTTGAATATTTTATACTTTTCAATATGTATGACATGCTTATTAACTAAGTATTGTTTTGGCCGAAGTGAATTGGCTAAAAAGTGAATCAGCCGAAAAGGAAGGGTACGATTTTGGTTGAAAAGTGTTTCACCCAAATTTAATTTAATTACCGGTATGTACCGAACAAAAAAAAAAAAACCGGATATCATCTCAACAGTTGTATTGTATAACTAAGTAATAACTAAATAGTAGAACCTGTATAGATTATTTAAAATATAATATGTATAGGTAAGATTGCCATTTGACCCGGTTAGTACAGGCTGAGTGTAAACTTATGAATAACGTTTTGTTGGATAAAAGTGGTAAGATGAATGAAAATACAATACGAGGCCCGATGTTAAATGAATTTCGGTTAAACATGTAACAGATTTTTCGAAAAAATTAAGAATTATACAACTCCATTGAAGAAAATGCGTTCGAGTGAAAATACATGTGATAATCACTATAGATAATATTAGTAATAATAACAGTTGATATACAAAAAAAATATAAATATTTTCATAAAAGCCCATTCAATATCATGTTTGGAAAGCGTAATAAACAGCAACAGAAGATCTGAAAATAGATAAAGAATCGAAAATGCCAAAGTGCCGGTTATGGAAAAAAATAAGATATTATGAAAGACCAAAAATGTTGATACTTAAATAGAAAACGTTTATTACAGAAATCGTACATGTATGTTTTATTGTGATTACTGGGAAATTTGAACGCCAAATACGAAAATATGCTAGAGCATGCTTGATTTGGCAAAGAAATTAATAATTTGAATATACGAGTATTTTTATTTCTTAAAATGTCTGCATCTACTTTTGGTTTTCAACCTGTCTAAATATTTAAAACATCATTTAATGTTATTAACGATATTTTTACTCCTTACTATGGGTTTTTTTTTAGTTGTCGACTTTCTGATGCTGACTGTTTCCTTTCCGGAGTTGACTGTCGGAATTCTGCAATAATGTAATCGACTCTATTTCTCGAGATCAATGCACGTTGCACGATCAATGCCAATTCGACGCATAATTTGAATGACCCCGTGTCGTATACGCGTACAAAAATAACACTTTTTTTTTACTTTCACCCCGTATTTATTTATCTTCGTCGGCAATCCCCTACCACCACTACCACCTACGTGAGTACGTGTTTTCGCGGACCTCGAAAAAATTATGTGTGGGCAAGGTACAATATGATATTATATTGTATTATGTCTGTGTAGGGATTTTTTTTTTAGTCGGTCGATGAAAAATAAACGCCAAAATTAACGTCGCATCATTAATTATGTACTTCTGTGCCGGAAGCCGCTGACCTTTCTTCTTGACCGGCCCGCGGGTTAAAACTACGCCTCCTCGTCGTCGGGTCAACGTCTTCATTACAATATTGTGTAAGGATAGGGACTATAAATATTCTATTCTATAACTGTTGACCGCACGAACCCGGTGGCGTGGCGGTGACGTCCACGACGCGAAACGGTGCCGCCGGTCCTTTTCATCATTATCATATTACTATAGGTATTATAATGTCCCGACGGCCATCTCCGAGACTGCCGCGTGAAACGTCGTGTCGTACCGATTCGCCGACACCCGATAAAATTATTTATTTCAAAATAATTTATCGTACTTGTAATTAAAAGAACAATTTTTTTTTTTTAATCGGTTTAAATTATTTGTTTAATTCACGAACTATCGTCTATATACCACAATGGCAAATATATCCTAGTTCTGAGGGGGGGAGAGGGCGATTTTCAAATCCACAGGGGTTATGAGGTTAATTCCCTCTAGTGATCATTTCAGACATTCATCCCGTGGAGAGGGGGGATATTGTAAATTTCCGAAATTTCCTATATACCTATATAAATTCTTAAGTATTAAGTTGTAGATAATAATATATAGCTGTGACAATAATCCTAAGGGGGGATGATTCACCAATCGCCCCTCCCCCCGAAATCTGCCACCGATAGGTAATACCTAACCTTACACAAGCTTTTGTTTTGTAAAGGAAAATGGAACATTATTATTTATTACGTTCAATGTGTAATTCTTCTAAAACTGAATTAATGTAAGTATTTAATACCCAAAATATAAATTCAAATTAATTCAAAAATCAATTCAAATTTAAAAGAAATTCACATACACAATGAAATAAAAAAAAAAAATTTTTAATAATATTTTAAATGTACAAACCGATTTTAAAAATAATATCTTATATCCATACATTTTAGATAATAAATAATAAAAAATAATTTATATTTCTTAACATATCTATGTCTAATAATAACTGATTTTAAATTATCTCTCCTATTAAAATAAATTATTTCTACACTCTATGTAAAACGATCAATTTGTATAAATTTGTTTTTTTTTGTCTATATTTTCCTTGAGTTAATTTTTAAAATTCAGTCGCGTTTTACTTTTTGGCTGTGATATATCTGGTGATTAATTTTTAACTAAAAAAAACCGGTAGCATAATATTATCATAATACTAGAGGTGACGCATTCATTCATTTATTTATTTAAATTTTTCAAACACAATTTTTTATTTATAAATTTATTTACGAGTATTAAACATTTTAATAATTTTGGTTTTACTTTATTATTTTATTAACCTTTATTTTGCAAATGATAACATTTACATTATTTGTTTAGTTGCTTAAATACATACTTCGTTTGTTAAATGTTGTGATTTGTAAAAACCATAGAAATATAAAAATTTTTAAATATTTAATTAAAAGATTTGATTTGGCAAAGAAGTTAATAATTTGAATATACGAGTATTTTTATTTCTTAAAATGTCTGCATCTACTTTTGGTTTTCAATCTGTCTAAATATTTAAAACATCATTTAATGTTATTAACGATATTTTTTGAGGAATGATACCCAAAAAAAAATCAACAGCTCTTTCTGATGCTGACTGTTTCCTTTCCGGAGCTGACTGTCGGAATTCTGCAGTAATGTAATTGACTCTATTTCTCGAGATCAATGCACGTCGAGCTTTTTCGATCTTCTCATTATTCTCGTGTAATTGAGCGTGGTCGGTCTGTAATCAATATAGGTAAGTTATGGTCCACAATTTACGCGTTTTAATTAAAAAATAAATCTTAAATCTTGAAACCTTAAATAAATATATGTATTTTAAAATGTAAAATTAAAATAATATGATTAATAAACGAGATCATTATAGCTATCGGTTAGTTAGAAAAATAGATAGTATATACCATAATGTGTTTCATTACATAACGATTATAATATGATATTATACACTGACTATTTGCATATATTAGGATTTAGTACACTTTTAAGAAATTTTAAATCTTATTTTTATTATTATTTTTTTATTTA